TGGCGGGCTGGTGGACGGAGGAACCCAGAGCTCCTCTAGGTCTGAGACCACCCAGCCTGGGTCTAGCTCTGGCCCATGGGAGGGAGAGATTGAACGAAAAGATACTGCTAGCTTAGAGTAGGGTTGGCAAATGTCATCTGCTTCCTTCTATGAAAATGGAGGTTTTCTTGCTGTGTATAAGGATTAGATGGGGTTTGGACATGTCTGGACAGGCGGTGTTAGGGGTGGCTGGGCTGAGTGTGTTAGTCTTGGTCTCTCTGTCCAACTGGCTGAGTCTGCTCCCCAGCACTCCCATCGGCGGTTTTTTCCTAGGAGGCCCTAGGCTGAGGAGACGGTCTTGGGCCCCTCACCTGGTGGGCTGTGGGACTGGGAGTGGTCTCTCACAACCTCTGCCCTTCTCCTTCATCTCTTTTCTTTCTCTCCCAAGCCCTGACGCCGTCCTGGACACCGACGGGGACTTCGATCTGGAAGACACAATGGATGTGGCGCGGCGCGTGGAGGAACTCTTAGGCCGACCGATGGACAGTCAGTGGGTCCCTCACGCCCAGTCGTGACCCCGACCTCTCCATCTTCAGCTTCTTCATCCTCGCCAGGGGACTTACTCTTGTGGATGTTTTAATTCCATGAACCGCTTCTCTTTGGAAACAATACTCATAATGTGAAGTGTTAATACCGTTGTGACCTTAGTGTTTCTGTGCATGGTGGCACCAGTGAAGGGAGCGTGAGCGTGTGAGCGTGTGTGTGTGTGTGTGTGTGTGTGTGTGTGTGTGTGTGTGTGTGTGTGTGTGTGTGTGTGTGTGTGTGTGTGCATGTGCAAGTTTGCACGTTGTGGTGTTTCTCCCCCTTGCTGTCTAGAGTTTAGCTACAGCCCTGGGGCCAGAAACAGGCTGTGTTTGTTTTCACCTTGTGCAGAAAGACAGTTCCATGAACCCTGGAACTTAGTCATGTCTTAAGGGTAGCTGAACTTCAGAGGAGAAAGCAGCCCCCTCTGGTGAGTCTTCGTCACTCTGTCTGCCACGCAGTTGATGTCTAACCGTGATTGTCTCCGCTTTTCTTCTGAAATGTACGTAACTGCCTCTTGACAGAGAAAGCCAGTCCTCTTTCCTCCTCTCCCTCTCCCGCACCCCCGTGTTCTTGGGTAGGGATGGGAAAAGGAGCAACATACAAACATTGTTGGGGCAAGAGAGGCCACAGGCTTTGGCTGGACAGTGGCTTTTTACATAACACTTAACTCATCTCAATATCCTCTCTTTGTCCCCTCCCCTCCTCCCTTCCTCCCCATCTCTCTGGAATTGCCACTCAGTTTCTGTGTGTGTACATACATGCAGATGTGTTTGACAAGACAGAGGAAGGAAAAGAGGCTCGCATCACCGAGAGCTTCCAGCGTGGTGTCCCTTGTGTTTTGGCCAGAGCGGAGTGCCCGGCCCTGACTTGCAGGCGCTGAGACCATTGCCTCCTTACCAGGGAAGCTGCCGCCCCGCCCCGCCCCGCCCATCCTTCCTCTGCGCCAGTGCAGGCCCCGTCCAGGGCTTTCTTAAGCCTTATTGATAATGGCTCTTGGCAAATGTTGACGGGTGTTTTTGTCCCTAAATTGGGCCTTTTTTTGTTTTCCTCTTCCCACCCAAATTTGACATTAAAATTCTTTCTTCCTGCATCAGGTCCTGGGTCACTCGTACCCAGGTCACCTCATTTCCCTTCACTGTTCACATATGACCATCTTGAGGAGGAGGTGGCAGGAATGTGGCCTGAACCTAGGGCACATGTGTTCAGCAGGTGGTCACCCAGCTTCAGGGTACTGGGTGCTGGACATTGGTAATTTGGGGAAATGCAGTCAGTGGGTTTGTGGGAAGTTTGGGAAACTATTAAGAAAAAAATCAAAAAGCCTCAGCATAATTTTGTTCCATAACTTCTAGTGTGTAGCTTTACACCAGAAGAAAGGAGTGAGCTATGGCAGGCAGGGGGTGAGCAGGTATAGCTCACGAGTAGGGCCTGCAAGGCCACACCGGGTCCCCTCTCCCAAAGAAGGGCATGGCCACACCCAGGAGAGGATGGTCCTAAAAACCTTATTTTTATACATGTGAGTAAATAGATATTTTTTTTACAAAAATAACTTCTGAATTTATAAGCGTTTTGCTATTAAAGGAAAACATTCCTCTGTAATAAATTATTTATTGGAAGATGACTTTTTAAAAGCTGCTGTTTGCCTTGGCTTGGTTTCATACACTGATTTATTTTTGTATGCCAGGCAGTTGAACCTCTGCCTCTGAGGAGCAGGCTGAGCCCTCCCTGGACACCAGCATTGATGTAGGAAGCTGCCGGGCCCCTCCCAACCCCTCAAGATTTGATTAAAGTTCCAACCACGAGGAAAGGTGAAAAGGAAAGCCTGACAGTGACGCCTCACACACCTGCCTCCAGGTGGCGCCCTGTGGGCTCCAGCAGCCCTAGAAGGGCGTAGTGGACCAGCCTCGGGGCCTGCTGAGGGCAGAGCGGCTGGGCAGTCCACTGCCAGGCGGCTCTGAACTTACTTTACAGTTGGCATCAGGGTTGGGAGGAAGGGGCGCAAGAGTGTGGCTTCCCTGAGCATGGGGGTCCCCGAGTTGCTGAGCTGTCCTCAGTTCTGCTGAGGCTGTGCCTAGAGATGGGGAGATTTTTGACTGAAAGGTGCGCTTGCTCTCTGCCTTCTGTTTTTCTCTCCTCTCTCTGTTCCTGCAAACCACAGAAGAGGCAATGGCAAGTCTTGGTCCCCTCAGCCTCTCACCTGCACGCACGCGCGCGCACACACACACACACACACGCACACACACAAGTCCTCAAACGTTTCAGCTCAATGTGTGGTATGTGCAGGGTTTGTAGGGGGTGGGAGGAGACTAAAAGCAAATATAACTTAAA